AGCGTTTCAACCCCTATATTGCCCATCACTTTGTCTATTTTGTAGTCCCAGAGCATTTTTTCTTGCAGGCAAATGGTATGTATGTATATAATACATCTATTCAACACAATAGAACAGGTCAAAACAGATTTATTCATACATCCTTATTTTTATTTAATTCCCTGTTCTTCCGAATGAAAAGAAATTTAAAGAATAAAACTCGGGCGAAGAGGAGTACTCTCCATTATATTATTCTGCACAAACATTTTTTTATTATTATTTTTCAAATATTTTTAAAAAGTTATCTTTAAAATCCTCTTATTCTCTATCCACAATGCATTTGGAATTAAGAAGTAAATGCCAGTACAATCTTAATTTTAAGTGCAAGTAAGGATATTGATTGAAATGATATTTATCTCCAAAGTTGCAAGGCTTTAGTGATTACTTTTAAAAAATATTTGAAAAATAATAATAAAAAAATGTTTGTGCAGAATAATATAATGGAGAGTACTCCTCTTCGCCCGAGTTTTATTCTTTAAATTTCTTTTCATTAGGAAGAACAGGGAATTAAATAAAAATAAGGATGTATGAATAAATCTGTTTTGACCTGTTCTATTGTGTTGAATAGATGTATTATATCATACTTTCGCTCTAAGACAGGATAGGGTGATCTCCCATCCCACAATTTTTAACAAGTATTTTTAAGTTCGACTTTGAAATGAGATCATCCTATAGTGATTTACAATGATGTAGTTACATTTTGGCTACTATGCAATATCATTCTGAACCATCATAAGAGTAGATATTTGATTGAGTCCATGTTGTCTGAAAGCAGACATGCCATCTGAAGCAGAATTAATAGACCACTTCCAATTAGCTTAAAAGGTGGAGATGTTAGGGAGAATGGAACTATGCCCTTCCCAATGAATATGAAAATCCATTCAAGTTTCAAGACTGCCAAAAAAATCCTACTATATGATATGGAAGTTGACAATACAACTCAGAGCTTGTGCTGAAAATTTTACTTTAAATAAAAAGATGTACTATTCCAATATATTATAACATCTCCTAGATCAGTGTTTCTCAACCTTGGCAACTTTAAGTCCTGCTGACTTCAACTCTCAGAATCCCCCAGCCAGTATGCTGGCTGGGGGATTCTGGGAGTTGAAGTCCGCAGGACTTAAAGTCGCCAAGGTTGAGAAACACTGTCCTAGATTCTTGGGGAAAGTTTGTTGCAATGAAAGCCAACCCTTCTAAAGAACTGGCAGCTACACCAAACAGATAAAGAATAAAAAAGGCATTGGAAGAATATTTGAAGAACAGTGAAGAAGATCCACTAAAGCTATATATGATGAAGGCTTACTGAGTACTAAAGATAACAAACCTCTGTACAAGGGAGACCAAATTAAGAATAATAACAATAATAAAAAATAGCAAAGCAATGTATTACATGGACAATACATTAAAAATATTTTTTTTAAAACTAGCAAACAAAGCAGATGACCAGTCCTGGCAATGGTTAAGATCAGGGAAGTTGACAAAAGAGACAACAAGGCTAATTCTGGCTGCAAAAGACCTATCTTAAGAACAAATGCATAGAAAGCCAGAATGGAGCAGAGAGTAACTCTGCAAAGAAGCTGAAGAAACGACGGAATGACAAATTAGCAACAATGGTGAATTGGGAGAACTGCAAGAAATACCATTTGCCTGCAAGAAAAAATGCTCTGGGACTACAAAATAGGCAAAGTGATGGGCAATGTAGGTGTTGAAACGCTCTGAGACTTCAGAAGTCAAACAGATAAGCACCGGCCACCGAAGTCTCCATCCTTGACAATATTGTCAGTAAGGAAGACAAAAATCTCTGTGTCGTAGGTATGGCAACACCCAGAGACAGCAGAAGAGAAGACAAATCACAAAATATAAAGACCTGCAAATAGAAGTCATACGGCCAAGGCAAAAGAAAGCGAAGATAGGATTAAGAGAAATAGGAGCTTTGGGTACAATTCAAAAACAACTGGAGCACCATTTGAACACCGTCGTCGGCATTGACAAATTCACCATCAGTCAATTGCAGAAGCAGCTTTACTTGGAACTGCTTACATCATCCTGTGATTATACCTTTAACACTATATGCAACAATATTTAAATATTCCACATCCTTGGAAAAGACTGTGACAGGTGGATAAAAGTGCCATCTGATTGACTGTTGGGCTTTCTTATATGTAGGCATTGTGAAAAAGGAACAATCAGGAAGAAAGGTTTCAACAGGTCAGGTGATTTCATTGAAAACCAACCCTATTCTAAGTTTACAAAATCCACTCCTCTTAGTTTGTAAGAGGATGACTTTTGTCCAGTTAGCATGTTTCCAGTGTTTTAATATCTGGTGCCTCTCTCTTTTTTTAAAAAATCATAGTGGCATCTTAAAATCTTCATATCCTGATTGCAGAGGGCAATGCAACTATGTAAGGTGATGGGCATGTACTCAGTTGACATTAAATCACAGTAAAAGGGACCAGCGTAATCAACAAATCTCCCACACAGCTAATTTACAGACTGCATACACGGGTGTCCCTTATTGCAGGATTGAAGATGAAATGAAACTCTTTGATTGAGGTTTCTTTTTAGTAATGGGTAGCTCTTGTCAAAGCCCTCCTGCGTATGCCCTCCTCCTCCTCCTCCTCCATTCACTTGCAAATCACTGGGTGTTTGGTACAGCCAACCCCCCCTCCTCTTTCCCTCCCCACGTTCACATTCCTTCACACCTTCCGCCCCTCTTCCCCAAAGCCTCCTCCGATCCAGCCCTGGCTGCTGCTGCTTCATCAGTGGCGAGAGCTCTCAGCCTAGGAAGGAGGGAGCTGTTTTAAGCAGAGGTTCTGAACCCCAATCAATCAGACCGAGGAGTCTGCAGCTGATCCAGTTCGCCACTTGCTGAAGTTCAAAGTGATGCAGAAGGAGGGAGGGAGGGAGGGAGGGACGAGGAAAGGGGGTCGGAGGAAGACCGGGAGCGGGGGAGGAAGGTCCGCGTAGAGACACAGCGTTGGAGCTAAGATCCACAGGCAGAGGAGGAACTAACGCAACCTTGAACAGCGCTAGCTGGAAGTAAAGCTGCAGCCGCTTCCACCAGCGAGGAGGAGGTGAGTCTCCCTCTCGGTTCCTCTTAGATTCTCCAACAACGGGCTTCATTTGAATGTTAGACGCTGCATTTTTTTAACCCCCCCCCCCTTCTTATATTTTTGCGGCGGGATGGAGGGGATGCATGAAGGCAGAAATAAAAGGCGTCCGCCGAGAAATGGGAAGCCAGCGGCAGGAGCTCCTACACGTTTTTGAAACTTGAAGTCCGATTTTAAAGTCTTTCCTTGCGCACTTGCATGGAGATGCACACGGGAAGGACATGCGTGGAATCCATTGGACAGCTGGCCAAGAGGAATGGAGCTGGATTCGTGGTGTTGACTGAGCTCTTTTAGCCGAGCGGGGTTTCAAAGTTCCGCTTAATTCATAGGCTTCCTTTCTTGCATTCAATATTTCTATAGAGACATTACTTGATCTGCTTAGGGAGCAAGCCATACATGAACAAATCTTAATAAATTATTAATAACAAGTCTGTATTATTTTAATTAGCCAAATGGGGAAAAGATGTATCTAGTATTTTCTGTAAAATGAAAATAAAACAAAATCATTAATCTGTAAGGACTATGGTTACTTTCAAGGGGCAAAAAATTGGTTCATGCTTATTCTGATTTTACCAAACCTTTATTAGTTTGACTTGCATTGCTGACAGAGTTCAAGCTTCCAAGGATCATAGAACTCCGCTTAGGCATTATTTTTGTCCACAGTGAGAGATGTATGGGTTGAATGCACAATTGGCAAATTTGAGAGTGGAATATCTAGGCAAACTTCCTTGCCAACTCATAATCTCATTCTGGACTAGCAATTCTGATCAACAAAACCACTGAAAGGAAAGAGGAATTCAGGAAGAATATCCTAATCAGGATATTTCTTCTTACGGGTCTGACTCATCTGAAAGGGTGATTCACTGACAGTTCTCTCACAGGCAATTTCTGTTTCTTTGGAATTGTTTTCCACCTACATTTTCAGTTATGCATGCCAAGAATTCGCAGAACATCCTGATCCTCAACTCTGAAATGATGAATGTGGAACTGTAAAGGAAATCAATATTCCTCTGCAATTGTGTGGACTTTTGTGTGTACTGAACCCATTCATCCTTTGCCAGGTAGATTTCAATAATGGCTCCAAATAGAAATGGACCAGGGTCCTGGTAGGAGGTAATTTACATTTGGGTTTACCATGTTAAAACTATAAGGGAATCATCTGGGAGTTGATAAAGTTGGAAGAGGACTTGATTTTTACCCCAAAATATCCCACTTATCTTTTTCACAGAAAGGGAGATCCACTTTAATTTATGCAGATTTCTTTTTCTCAAGCACAACTACTTGTGATTCTATTGATGTTTGGGAATTATAGCACTTTCAGGAGATTTGAGAAGATACTTTTGCTTTTGATGTCGGTAGTATTGTTCAATATGTAAGTTTTAACTTCCTAGCCCAAGGGATGCTTTCAATCTTATATTAAGAATCAACTGTGCAAGTCAGATATTCCTTTCATTTTGTTTTATATGTGTACTGTAGTACTTTCAGTAAATGTACATTCTCAGCCACATGTAGACAGTGAAGTGCATTTGAGTGAACAATCCACTGAATATGAAAAAAGATGATTTCCTCACTATGATGAGCATTTGGGGGGGGGGGTTGGTTCATAATAGCTGAGCATCAGTTGTCTTTTTATGCACATCATTTTCTGAATATCATAGTGATCCCCTACTGGGATCCATCAGGATAGTGTACATTTCCTCCTGAAGAATTTCCTGACATTCTGAAGCAATACTAAGCTAGCGAAACACCAGTTCCTAAAAATGGGCATATATTTACAGTAAACAAATGTGATTTGAGAATGGAACTAGATAAGCTATTGGCAAGCAATACGGTCAGTATTTATTAGAAATAATACAAACTTTTATATTCAAAGGCATGTAGGTAGCATTGAGTCGGTTAAATGGTCCTGCAAACAACATCAAATCCATTGAAGTGGAATAACTTTCAAGCAAAGCAGACTGTGTTAGTATTTAAAACAGTGCATTATGTGAACAATGGCTTGATTTCGGATGTTTGCTGGTTCTTTCATTATGGAATGAAAAGATCTGGAGAGACAAAACAACTTCAGAAGAGCCAATGGGGAGCTTTCTTCTTTGGATAAGAGATGCAGCATTCCATAGAGTGGCAAAAGAAAACCAAGATGAAATCTGAGAATCCCCCCTCCCCTTTCTGTATTTAATCTATTATTTTTGAGGCAGAACATTTGTTTATTCCTTAAATAGTTTTATTATAGATAAGTAATACAATATTTCACAGGCTTGCAGATGCCTTGTCAAGCTATACTTAGATTTTGAAAAGGTTGTTAACATGTTTAATTGATTATTCTGAGAACCGAGGAGGCAGAAATTCTGCAGTAAATTAGATCAGCTTGAGAGAGAGAAAGGAAGGAGGAAAGGATTCTAACAAAACCTGGCATAGAGTTGATGAGTACCAATCACTCAATCCCCTAGAATGATAAACCTGGCAGGTACTAAGTGAAATCATGTGCTGCCATCTCCTGTGAGCCAGGTTCTTTGATATCTAAAGTATCCTTGGCAGATGCCTGTCTGAAATCTTCCAAACGGATTTCACAATATCCCTGTTTAACATATTCTGTTTGAAAGCATTCCCCCCCTCCCCATATTTGTAGGATCCATGAGAGTCCTTTATCTACAGGATGCCACACTTTGATGACTTGTGTCAAAACAAGGATGCCTTCTTTGAAGGAGACTGTATAGTAATATGTGGGCAGTTTACCCAATTGCATCTAACTGAATTGAAACTACAGATCCAAACACTTATTCCAGAATTGATGCTGGACATCAGCACATAAAATTGACCATCATTAACTAACATCATCTCTTTTGATTATTGAGGTTTACTGGTTGAGAGCCAATGGAAAGCTTAGGTGCTTTTTTGTAGCAATTAATTATTAGCAATTCATTGCTAATAATTGTGAAGTGAGTAATTATCATAAAATTTGGTATGACTCCTTTATATGGGTCTTGTTATGGAGAAAAGGATAGCTTATGGAATACCTTTGAACTTATAGTAAATGTAGTCATTATTCGTAAGAATTATTTGGCTTTTCAAATGAAAGGAAATTAGCCTTACTTCACAGGATAAATTTTTCATGCATATTCTTGAAGCATCTCTATTGAGTTTTCCTAACTTCATTGTGAACTCAAGTTTGGAAAGTCCATAACTACAAACTAGTAAATCACATTTTAGGTCCGTGTTGTGCCCAGCTTGATAGTTGTAACTCAGAATATCATAATCCCATAAAATTAGATTAAACAAGCAAACGATGATTCAGTTACCCAGGCATAAATATGTCAGGGGGAAAAAATGCTACAAATTTATACTGGGATTTTCTTGCTTATAGTTCAAACTGACAGACAGACAGAAACTTTATTTTTATCCTTGACCATTTAATAGTTATACCTGATATGTGTAACACTTCTTATTCTGCATTAATGATTTTGTTTTA